CTCCTCGCTTCCCTTTGTTCCTCGCTTGCTGCTGCTGCTGCTGCTGCTGCTGCTGCTGCTGCTGCAACCCCAAACCCCACCCCCCACCCCCTCTCCCTCCTCCCGTTCTTCTCCTTGTCCTGACTGACAACCAGGCCATCTTCCGCACCTTCAGCACGCGGGTCAAAAGGTCCACCAACTCCATCAAGGGCAGGAGCTGGGAGAACATGACGTGGCAGGAGCGCCTAGTGAGCGTGCAGGTCGTCAACGAGTACCTGAGCGTCGAGAGCGAGGAGGAGGAGCAGAGCTCGCCCGTGCTCGAGGACTGCGAGAAGGACCTCAGGAGGGCTGACGGGCAGCGCATCAGGAACGGAGCTCCGCTCATCGTCATCGCCCCGAGGGGCTCCGGGTGCAGCAGGGTCCTGATCAGAGCACTACAAGACTCTGCGTCCTGGGGTCAGCTGGCAGCTGAGGACGAGGACGCGGTCCTTGAGCTCCAGGGGAGCAGCGACGGTCAAGTTATTGGTGAGGAGGAGGAGGAGGAGGAGGAGGAGGAGGAGGAGGAGGAGGAGAAAGGTAGGTTGGACGAGATTAGACAGGAGGCGACGAAAGGGGAGGGGGAGGAGGAACGATCATCCGCCACGTGACTGACAGATCGCTGCAGGAGCTTGCTTCGTCCGGCAGATCGGCGTCACCTCCTCCTCCTTGGTCGGTCGCTCCCTCCTCCGCAAGCTTGTTCAGCAGATCCGCGAGCACTACAAGGGAGACAGTTTCAAGCTGCAGGTGCCTGGCAGTTTTGATGAGCTCAGCTGTGCGTTTAAAGACTCTCTTCCCCTCGCTTCCAAGTCCGAGCCGGTAGCTCCTCCTTCCGCCCCAACACCCATCTTCTTCCACTGTGACTTCCTGCCTTTCCCCTCCTTGGCCTCTTACTCTATGTATCCGTTGCCTCTGCCCTCTCCTCCTCCTTCGACCTCTCTTCCTCCTCCTTCGCCCCCTTCCATTGTCTGCTCTTCCTCCTCCTCAGTCTAGTTCCTTCCAGCCCCCCCCCCCTGCTTCTCTACCTCCGTCTTCTCCTACGACTGTCTCGTCCTGTTCACGTGCTTCCTTCCGCCTGGTCTCTGCTCACTATCCCCTAAGATGGTCATCGCAATCGACGGACTTGATCGCATCCACCCGGAAGATCCCATCCACAACATGCAGTGGCTGCCTGCCGAGCTGCCGGAGAACGTATGCTCTCCTCCTCCTCTTCCTCCTTCTCCTTGTCCTGCTCTTCCTTCAACTTCTCCTCCTCCTCCTCTTCCTCCTTCTCCTTGTCCTGGTCTTCCTCCTCCTCCTCCTCCTCCTCCTCCTCCTCCTCCTCCTCCTCCTCCTCGTTCTGGCTCCTTTTTCACTCTTAGACAGGTTCGGATCGTCATCACGGCTACCCCCCAGTACTTCAGCAGCATGTGCGACTGCGACAAGAAAACTTTCTGCAGCCCCAACGTCATTCACCTGCTGCCGCCCTCGTTCGAGAGCCTGCAAGCTTGTGTGCAGCTGGGCAAGAAGGTCGGGAGGTTGCCCGGGAACGGAGGGGTGAAGGAGATGCTCGAGGTGCTCAAGGGAGAGAGGAGCCTGTCCATGTTGAAGGTGCTGGCGGAGATGAACTTGAACTCTTCCATGGACGAGGACGACATCGTCCTACCCGTCGCCCTCCACAACGGGAGGCTCGCATTGAGAGCTGATTCCTCGTTCCCCCACCTGAACAAGTTCCTCTCCCTCCTTGTGCTCGTCCGGTACGGCATCTCACAGAGCAGCTTCAAGTTTGCTTGCCAGGCGCTCTTGGAGAGGCTGGGGGAAGGAGACAAGGCCATAATACCTCCGGGTACTTTCCTACCCTTCACCTCTGTCTTGTATCATAGAAACACTCTCCGCATCGTCATCGCCAACGAAGGCATCAAACAAGGTGATTGCAATCAAACAGAAGCTTGTCTGCTTCTCCAAACATCCTCCGTGTTCTCACAGTCCTCCAGCAATCAAGACGGACAGTTTCTTCCAGCAGCACGAGCCTGAAATCATAGATGTATCCTCCCATCTCTCCTCCCCTTGCTCACTACACCCCAGGTCCTCGTCGAGACGTTCCAGCGACCCGGAGCCGACGAGAACGAGGAGGTGATGTCGATTCTCCTGGAGAAGATGAAGAGGAAGGGGAGTCTGGACAGCTCCCTGCTCGCCCCCCTCCTCGATTTCAACCTCATCGCCCTCAAGATCCTCCATGGCCACCTCGAGGACCTCTTCAGGTCCCAGCTGCCCTCCTGCTCCTCCCCGTTGACATCCTGCGATGATGCCGAGTTTGACGTTCGTTGAAACCCTGCTTGTCAAACCTGTACCTTCGCGTCGATTCACCCTGACCACCCCCTGACTTTGACAACCTTCTGTCAAACTCCACCTGCTCTCCTTTAACTTTCACTGCTGCAGGGACTACCGAGAGGTCCTGCTGGCTGTCGTCAACGGGCAGGTCAAAGTTGACACCCATACCTTCATGCAGCTCCGGGCGACTCTTTGGTTTCTTATCCGCCGGCAGAACACGCTTGTCAAGCAATTCGCCCACTCCCTCATACCCCAGCTGGCCTCCGACAGGGGCCTCCTCCCTCCTCCCCAGCTGGACTCTCACTTTATCAACCCGTCGGGGAGGCACACGAGGACCAAGTTGGAGTGTCTCTGCTGCCTCCAGAACAAGCTCAAGGTCACCAGCTGCGACCTCCTCCAGCTGGAGGGCGTCCCTGTCAAGTTCCTCTGCGGGCACGGGGACGGGTCCGTCACAGTCTGGGACGGCTTGTTCGCGGAGATTGACCGGCGCTTCCGTGCGCACGAGGAGGAGGTGGCAGCGTGCAGGTTCCTGCCGTTGCTGGAGGAGAAGAGGGTTGAGCAGCTGCTTGCTCTGACCTGCTCGAAGAACGGGACAGTGAGAGGATGGCGAGCTTCGACCGGGAGCCTTCTGTTTCAGTTGCATCCTTTCTCTGAGAGACTGGTCAACGAGTTCGATCCTTCGACGAGGCTCAAGGTGAAGTTGAGGCCGAAGAGGAGGGAGAGGACGCTGACAATTTTAACACAGCACGATGTCTCCTCCTCCTCCTCCTCCTCCTCTCCATCGTACATGATCGTCAGGCGAGTATCTGAGGACAAGGCAGAGATTGCCCTGGGAACGCGAGGAGGGGACCTGGTGCTATGGAGATGGACGACGACTACGCAGGCGATGGAGCACGAGTTGATATCGCTCAAGAGGAAGGCGCATGGAACAAGCATCAGCGTCATTTCCTTCGTGCGGCACGAAGAATTTCTCATCAGCTCCTCGTCGGATCGAGTCTTGAAGTTCTGGCACGTGAGGGAGGGGGAGCAGGACATGCTCTCGTGCGTGCAGTCCATTGAGCTGGAGTCTTCCGTCCTGTCAATCTCCTTCCGCGATCAGTCCGTCCTCTGCTGCAGCTTCGGTCTCATCCACGAGTTCTCCTTGCACGATGAACCCATCAGGTCTCTCTCTTGCCCTCACCTCCTCCCCTTTCTCCTCCCCCCTCTCCCTTGCCCCCCATCCCCCCTCTCGGGATCACTCCCCCCTCCCCCCCCCCCCTTCCCCCTTCTCTCTCGCAACGTTTCTCGCTGAGAGTCCCAGTAGCACATGGAGAACGCGTTTGCTTTGATCTGCTTGAGATCAAAGGCATTGGAAGAAAGGTCTTGCACGATCCCATAGCATCCGGCTATCCCAGGCCCTGTGGCCGCCTGTTGTGATGAAAC